CTTGATTTGAGCTAAAAGGCCAAGAACACTTAGTGTGTGTTCTTGGTGTTTTTGGAAATCTAATCAAAAACACAAAAGTGAATGGATGAATAGATGCAAAAACACTAGATTAAGTGTTTAATCAACTTGGAATGGATAGAACACTTACAAGTTTGAAGATCTTGAATTGTTTCTAGTTTGCTACTTGAGAGGTTTTCTTGAGTTTACTCTTTTGGGAGTTTACTCTTTTGGATAAATGGGGAGTAAACTCATATTGACTAGACTTAAGGAGTAAACTCATGGATAAGCACGAGTTTTCGGATTTTGGTATGATTTTTCGACTCAAACGAAATAGTTTGGCCGAGAGTTTATAAGACGCGAGGTGTTTGCGCTTTTTAAAATTTAAAACCCGAGACGAGACTTTCTTTCACCCGTTCGTTTAAAAATATTATTAAAATAATCAAACGAATTTTATATTTCTTAAAATAAGAAATAATGATATTAGTTTATGATACGAAGTGGTTGACTTTTAGGGTTTGACCGAATGGAAATTTCGGGTTGTCACACAAGCCACCAAGTGATCAGCTTTAGGGGTTCGGACGAAGCATCGGACTCAGATATGTAGTTTGGAAGTAGTTTCTAAAGGGATTAAGCTGTTTTGGAGAAAAGAGCTTAACATGAGAGTATGATGGGCGTACACGCTAGTACACGCAGCGTACAAGCCTTTTCAGCAGTACGCGCAGCGTACAGAGAGATACGCTCAACGTACGCTCAGTTAGTGGACTTTTGTTATTGGGCCTTGGTTTGGGCAAAGTCTTGGACATAGTAGCAGTGGGCCGTGATGGGCCTTTAGAAGTCAGTTAAGGGCCTAAGGACTAGTTGGGCTTGAAAGGAAAGCCTATTTGAAGACTTGGGCTCAATTTAGAAATTGGGCCATGTGGGGCTTAATGGGCCTTAGTGAGGACTAGAAAGGATTGGGCTTAAGTCATGGCCCAAATTAGATCAACGGCGTAAAATAGTCATTTTACCCATAGAAGAACCTTCATTTTTTGACTAAGTGTTTATTTGGTCATATTAGTCGGGGAGTAGTTGGAGCAGCAAGCAATGTCACCTTTGCACGAGTTTTCAGCAGCCAGATTGAGAGGTGAGTTTTCCTCCTGTAGGAACGAGTCTAAGGCACCAATGTCGGCCCGTTTGTGTAGTTATAGTATGTTGGGGTAAGCCCGATGCAGTTTATATGTTTCCGTACTTCGTTCCGGTGTCGGGGCGGTCCCAAGAAGTAGTTATATACGCTTGATGTGATTCGTGCATGTTTATGTTATGTGTTATATCTTCCGGGCTTGGGTCCGATGTCGGGCAAGCCTAATGTAGGATATGTGATTATGTTATATGTTTATGTTTATGTTATGTTCAATTTATTTATATCGGACTCCGGTCCGATGCCGGGTGGGGCCCGATTCATGGGCGGGGCCAAGTTATGCCGGACTTCGGTTCGATACCGGGCGGGGCCCGATTCCGGATTTGTCCAACGCCGGGCGGCGCCCGATACAGTGGGCAAGGCCCAGTATGTGTTATTGTATGGTATGTGGTAGCTTGGGGGAGTTCACTAAGCTTCGTGGTTACAGTTTTCTGTTTTGGTTTCAGGTACTTCCACTAGCAAAGGGAAGGGCTCGGGATTATCGCATGACACACACCACAGCTTTCAGCCTGAGATTGATTGAGACTCTGTTATTTTCTCATTTGATTTTGATACAGTATTTGTTATGAGATTTTAGGATACATGACACTTGGTTTTCTTATTAATTATGGGTGATTATAGTTTTTATAATATTTTTCAAAACGAAATTTTTGGTTTGTATTCTTGGGATGTTTGAGCAAGTTTGAGCTTATAGACAATAAAGCAAGTTGGCAAAAGAGATGGAATCATTATTTTAAATGTGTTTTTGGGCTTGTTTGCGTAACTCAAATGCATGGGAAGCGATAAATGTTCATAAAATGTCTATGACAAACAATCAATAAATCAAGAACATGTATTCACACGTAATACATGCTCTTAGAAGAAGAAAGCGTTGTTGTTTGTGTTGAAATTCTACTGTATGTAAAAAGCCAAGCTAAAAAATTAGAAAAGAAAAAATGCGAAAGTTGTTTGATTTTGATTAGTGCTTGAAGTTACATCTAAGTGTTGTCATTCTTAATGTCAACATATTCTTCATGGGTCCAACTAAGGACATACCAACCAACATCATTTTTATATATCTTTAGTCATACCTTACCATTATTATTTAGAAAAATTAAATATCCTCATACTTTTTCTTCTTATTAATCTTCCTACCATATCAAATATTAACACGTGTCACATTTAATGACATATTTAATAAAATTAATAATAATTTAATCCACTTGTCACCATTTCATATGAATTGGAGAATAATAAAAAGAAAAAATAGAATGATATTTAATTTCTCTATTATTAATCATTGTATTATTTTTTGAATATATATATATATATATATATATATATATATATATATATATATATATATATATATATAGTGTTACATTATTGTGTTCTAACTATGTATTGTGTGCACGTAAGATTGATTGTTGACAAATCATTTTAGTTATTTTAAGAAAAAATTATTAATGCATATTAAATATAGAAGAAATACTGAGTATTTATTGTGTACATGTAATATTTTTTTGTCTTTTACTTACTATTATCAACATCTTAATTGTGTAAAAGTCTTTTACTTTTTATTCGCAACCTCTTAACTTTGTAAATGATATTTTCACCATTTATTCCCTAAACTTTAGTGTTTATCCTAATATACTAATTTTCTACTTTATAAAATATGTTTTTCAACCCTCTCTTTTTTAAAATGTTATGTTGACCTTGTCAAATTTAAAGTTTATAAAATATCAACCTTGGCGTTTTTATTTTCTAAACTTTCGTGTTTATCATGTAGTATATGATTGATTTTCTACTTTGTAAAATATTTTTTCAACCCTCTCTTATGTAAAATGTTATTTTGAGCCCGTCAAATTTAAACTTTATAAAATATCAATCTTACTACCACTGATTTCTAAATTATCATATTTATCACCGTAGTATATATAATCCAATTTTCTTTATTTTGTTTAGTAACTTTCGTTCGTTAACTTAAAAAAAAACTAATGTTTTTTTTATGTATACATCGATATAAATTAAAAGGTGGTTACATTAATCTGCTAATAGTACAACAAACTAATGGAAATTATAAAAATACGTCAACGTGTAAAATGCAACTTTAATTAATCAACTTTGTATAATCTGTAATTTTTAACCCATTATTTTATAAAATGATAATTTTAAGCCCTTTGTCTTTTAGAATATCAATTTAACCCCCTCCACCTTCAACTTTGTAAGATGTCATTTTTACCCTCTTTTTTTTTTTTTTTTTTTTCTAAACCTTCATGTTAATCCTTCATCCCTATATATATATATATATATATATATATATATATATATATATATATATATATATATATATATATATATATATATATATATATATATATATATATATATATATATATATATATACCAAAAACTTGATGTGTGTGAAACAAACTAGTTTTAATCCTACTAACTTAAACGCAAAGACAAACACACGAAAGACAGTGTACCTATCGATTAGCAGTTTAGTTCAGGTAAGTAGGGTATCGAACACAGGGAACGGTAAACAATTAAAATAGATGCTAATATTATCTAAATAAAACAAGTAATAGAAATGGGGTTTTCTCTAGTTATATATATATATATATATATATTAGTTTATAACCCGTGAGAACCACTGTTACAAAATTAATTAAAATTTTATAGTAAAAATTAAAAATTATTAATCAGCTATTTGAAATAAATTATTAATTAGGAGATTTTTTAGTTATATAAAATTCTAATCATTGATTTAAATAAATATGTAAAATTATATCATTTAGAACTTTTATTAATTTTTATTTTAATGTTATTAATTTAATGTAATTAAAGTGAAAATGTTTAAAATGAAAAATCAATACGTTAACAAGTGACATGTATTAATTATTTAACTATGAGACATAATATAGTGATACATGACAAATGTCAAAACAGTAATAAAATATGCATTAATTAGGAGGCCTAATAGGATGACACATGTCAAAGGAGAATATATATATATATAAAGGAAAAACAATAAATAATTAAAGTTATCGTATGATATGTGGTCACATTTACATTGCAACCACACAACCAAAGATGAATTCGACTAACCGTTTTGTGGAATTGGAGAAGATGTTTGGGTTTTCCCTAGAAATCGAATGTTGAAGAGTTATGGGCCTTGGAGGTTGGATATTACTCATCGCATGACAGGTCTATTATCCCGCTTCCTTTTTTGGATAGATGTTATTGGGCTTTAAATAATTAGTCCAATAGGCTTGAAATTAATGGGTTGTTACTATGTAACTAATATAAGAAGTGTAAAATAGGGACCCTTTGGCATTTGGGGTCCGGGGCGGTCGCCCAGCTTTCCCATGCCCATGAACTGGCCCTGCGGGACGTAAATGCCCGCTCCCGACCGCGATCCTAAAAATAAACGGGCTTTAATCCTGACCCCGTTCCTGTTCTCCATCTTTTGAATTTTTTTAAAAATTAGTAATGTACAATATCGGAATCCCATGGGAACGGGGTCATACGCGGTTTTTTGACATCCTACATGTGACTCTTATGTTACATAATCTTTATACACCAAAGGCCTAGTGGTATCATGGTGTGTATGAAATATAGTTCTCCACATGTTGCTTGAGGTTCAAGTCTCGTCACGAACACTAGTGTAGAATTATAAGTTGTTTGTGTTTGTCGTTAAAAAAAAAATAGACAATCTTTATACGTAACCCTCAATTAAATAGGCATGCGCCTAACTTGATTTTGTGTTCTCGATTTTTAGTTATTCGTTCGAATTACCGATTCTAGTGGCAGACAATACTAGAGTTCGCAGATTATGAGAGGCAAGTAATGAGAACATCCGTTGGATATGTATATATATTTACCACAGGGAGATAGTTTTTGATGTTTCGAATAAAAACATCCGTATTAATCCCTATCATGGCTAGTTAAGTATACGGAAAACTAGCATTATGATCATCTAACTATTAAATAGCTTCAATAACCAAGCAAGACTAATTCCACAACATCCCAAAGTGACTAGATTTTGCATGCACTTCAACGAGTCATCCCTCCTGGAACCGTAGGTGGTACCATGGCTCCACCAGTTTGTTGTATCTCGGGAGACTGACCTTTCCACCCAAGTCCTGAAAAAGTGAAATCGTTGTAGTAAAAAGTCATTAATCCACATGATTAATAACAAAAATTTTAAAAAGAGAAGAAGTAGAGTACATATATCATTGTTAATTAATTACCAAGTTTCATGTCGAACCCATGAGCCTGAAGTTCACGATATTCTTGACACAAGGCGCATGGTTCACATACTAAATGAACAAGAATATTTATGACTGGGTCATTAGGAAGATTATACATCTGGACCATCCTAATCCTAAAGTATGCGGACAACAGACATCCCAAGCCTGTAAAATACAGTAGCCCCGCATGAAGTCCACCCAATACCATACAACCTGTTATAAAAATAAACAAAAAGTTTGCGATACGTTAGTCAAGCAGTTTGCATCCATAAATGCTTAATTAGTCGTTGATTGTAGCCATGTAATTGGAGAAATGAACGCTTACTGTTTTGTCCTCTGTCGACCATTTCTGCGACTTGGCCGAAAGTAACACAGGGGGCAAAAGCCGTTATGATTACTGTTGAAAAGAAATACATCAGGAGGTGATTTAATTTGATCGGTGATTAATATATGATAAAGAATCTGATTATTGCATGCATGGACTTACAAGTTGGGAGATCATCAAAACAATCAAAAAGTCCTGTTGACCACATAGGAATCTGGCCTTGTTGTGGTGGGACCCCAACGACATACTGATTGGGTTGTTGCTGTGGATATGCAGTAGCTGGAGCTTTGCTAGGATCAGAGTTAGATGTGGCTTGGGGATTCGTTGCTGGTTGGGCTTCAGATGGTGGAGCTTTCTCGTTTGGGACTGAGGAAGCCATTTTCAACCCGATTATCCAATAAACTCAATTATCCGAAGACAAGTGGTAGATTGGATAATCGAGCCTAGCTCGAGAATTGATTTGAGATTAGTGCATTAAACATATGTATTTATAGGGTTGCCATGAATGATTGCAGCCATTGGTTTTTTCTCCATGTTTTGTGGAGGACTGAATTCATGCATACAGGCGAAAACTGTTGCATATTAGTAGGGTTGATGTGGAATTGAAGTGTTCAATGGTCGAGATCAGCTGGTATTGTCGGAACGACCATAATTATTTATTGCAGATTTTTTATTATTATTACACTTTTTTAGGGGAAATAATACATCTAAATAATTAAAATCAGATATCGGAAACTCTTGTATTCATTTGATGGTCCCAAGTCTAAATCGATCTAATCTGTTTATATATTGACAAACACAGACTATGAGATAACATTTGCAATATTCTTTTTCACGATCATCAAGGTTTACATGGAAATAACGGGTAGTTAATCTAGTTTTCGCTTGTGTAAACAAATATTCAAATTTTAAATTACATTAAAATAATAATAAACACAGCTAAATATCATAAGATTTTCATAAACTACTTGAAAAGCTGAAGTAGGATTTTTCCCACAAGTATTTCAATTAGAAAAAATAAGTTAGAAAAAAATTGTGATTTAATCTATATAATAATGGCTAAAAAAATAAAAGGTAATCACAAGAAAAGTAATTAAGCTTATACGAATTATATTTTGACATTAATTGTTTTAATTTTTGTCTCTAACTAGATAGGATATTTACATTTTTTTTTTATAATTTTAACCATTTGAGTGGTCCACTTGATTAACGGTTGACATCACATGATAACGTAGTAGTTTTGATGATGTGACAACCAACATGTCAAATGAAAAAAATACACAAAAAGTAATAAATTTTTAATTTTTTTAAATTTAACACTAAGTTTATTTATTTATTTTCCAATTTTTAAACACCATTTTATTTTACAAATCAAATATCATTATTTTTAATTTAGTTTATTGTTGAGCACTTTCTATTTTAATATATATATATATATATATATATATATATATATATATATATATATATATATATATATATTAAAGTTCAATAGAGAATCATTATTAATAAAGAAATCAACGAAACAATCTAAACCGTCAGAATTAAAAACAATTAACCGCAAAAGTAAGGGTTGTAGACATTTACAATTGAAGCACATTTATCGAATTATAACAAAGTCACTTTTTTTTTATTAAATTTTTTAAGTCATGTTTTATATTGAAAAAAAAAACTAATATACCATTATCCATGATTGTTCGTCATCTTTCCATAGAAATTCATATTAATATACAAAAAATAAAATTTTGTTTTCAAAAAAAACTCACTTCACTTCTTTATTTTTTGAAAGTTAAGGCCTATTAATTAATGAAAGATTTTAATAAATATATCATAATTCATTTTTTTTACTATTTAAACACAGATTCATAATGATATAAAAAAAATTATGAATATGTAATCTGAGCAGATTCACAATCTGAATAATAGTAAGTCAGATCCACATTATTAATGTTAAAATTGAAATATTTATAGTTTGGATTTACATTATTAATCTGAACTGATCGAGATTTTTTTAATCAATGTTCATGTTAATTAATAGAGTACATAAAATTGAAATTTTTGGTATAATTAGTTTTTTCTTGGATAATAAGAAACTTACGTATTGAAAAAAAAAAACTATAACATCTATAAATTTTACGCCAAATTTAAACTTTTTCAATCATAAATAAAAACCAAATAGCATTGTTTACAAAATGTTTTCAAATCATTTTCCATCAGAATGTCCCAAAAATCATAACATAAGGATGTGGAGCGGTACGGTCACACCTTCGCATTTCCATGATCTCCTGAAGTACCTGAAACAATAAACTGAAAACTATAAGCCTGAGGGCTTAGTGAGCTACCCCCAAAATACCAATAACACACTGACAATACCATATCAGTAATAACCAATCAATCAACATGCATATTGGGCCATCGACCTAACTGGACCGCCCTACGGGGCCTGCAGTCTGTCTGAATCTATCCCGAGCCTTCGACATGACTGGTCCGCCATGTGGGCCTACAGTCTCCCCGGACCGCTCATAGGGTATATTGGCCTTCAGCACAAAGCAGGACCGCCTCAATCCAACCACACACAAATAACCATGTGCACATACTATCATATACTAGCATATACAAACATCAAACATATCTACCTCACTGATCGTTAATCATAGAATTCTCATGTAACTAGAGTACTGACCTAGCAGGTCACTAACATACCAATCCCTACGGATCATAAGAGCATAACATACTGTCTACCCTTATTTCGATCTAACAGATCATAATTACATGTAGCATACCATAACAATAACAACTAAAGGGTCGTCCTTGGTGCCATAGACCCTATCGATATAGTGAGGATAACTCACCTCGCAGATGTCGAGTCGAAAGGTAAACTCCAACTCTCGGATCACTTAACACAGGCTCCACCACCTATTATCATAGTACAACATACTCATAAGTCCTTAACCTTATAAGGTACTCTATAACCTACTAGTCAACCCCTGGTCAAAGTCAAAGTCCTCAGTCAAGGTCAACAGTCCATGTTGACCCCAACTCGCCGAGTAACCTCGGCTACTCGCCGAGTCATCGGGGTGACTCGTTGAGTTCCTTCGATTCTCGTTCAAACATGAAATGTGTTGTGGATCTGGCTAAGCTCCTCCGGAAGCTCTAGCTTATAAGCCACCCTACCAACCCTGACAATAATCCTGAACGGCTCAATGTAACGGGGACTCGATTTTCCTTCTTCCTGAAGCGGATCACACGCTTCCAGGGTGAGACCTTTAGAAGAACCATGTCACCCACCTGAAATTCCAGCTCAGATCGGCATCGGCCGGCATAACTTTTCTGCCGGCTTTGAGCGGTCTGCAGTCGCTGTCTAATCTGTTGTATCATCTTGGTAGTTTGCAGAATTACCTCTGTCCGACCCATCACCCTATGCCCAACCTCACCCCAATAGACTGGGGTCCTGCACTTCCATCCATACAATAACTCGAAAGGCGGGGCGCCGATACCGGAATGATACTTGTTGTTGTAGGCGAATTCTGCAAGCGGTAGGTTGGAATCCCAACTCCCACCGAAATCAATGATGTACGCCCTCAACATGTCATCGAGGGTCTGAATGGTCCGCTCACTCTGCCCATCAGTCTGCGGATGGAACGCTGTGCTAAGATGCAGTCTCGTACCCAGTTCCTCGTGGAACTTCTTCCAAAAACGGGAAGTAAACATGACATCTCGATCAGAAACGATAGAAACTGGAACCCCATGGCAAGAGACAATCTCTCTGACGTACAGGTTGGCCAACTTCTTTGTCGATGAACTCTCCCGTATGGCTAGGAAATGGGCACTCTTGGTCAATCGATCCACGATGACCCATATAGCATTGAACCCCCTTGCTGTCTTCGGTAACTTTGTGATGAAATCCATCGCGATCCGTTCCCATTTCCACATGGGGATCTCCAGAGGTTGTAGCTTACCATGCAGCCTCTGATGCTTGGCCTTGACCATCCTACAGGTCAAGCACCTCTAAAAAAAACAAGTGATATCTTGCTTCATGATAGGCCACCAATAACTCGAACTCAAATCATGGTACATTGAATCGAAAAATGAGACTTATGAGCCTCCTCCATCACTGTTTGCCAGACCCCTCCGGACATCGGAACCCAAACCCAACCGTAACGTATCAACAACCCGTGGCTATCCTGAACAAACCGGGCGCTTTCGCCTTTAATACTCTCAATCTTCCAGTTCTCTGGTCTCAAACCCTCAATTTGAGCGTCCCTGACCAAACCCACCAGCGGGGAATCCACCACTATCCTCATACACCTGGCTGGGGTCGAGGACCTAGCTGACTTGCGGCTTAGAGCATCCGCAACCACGTTCGCTTTACCAGGATGGTAAAGGATCTCACAATCATAGTCCTTGACCACATCGAGCCACTTGTGCTACCTCATGTTGAGGTTCGGCTGATCCACCACTATCCTCATACACCTGGCTGGGGTCGAGGACCCAGCTAACTTGCGGCTCAGAGCATCTGCAACCACGTTCGCTTTACCAGGATGGTAAAGGATCTCATAATCATAATCCTTGACCACATCCAGCCACTTGTGCTACCTCATGTTCAGGTTCGGCTGATCCATGATATGTCTCAAACTCTTATGATCTGTGTACATAGTACAATGGACCCCGTACAGATAGTGCCTCCAAATCTTGAGAGCGATAACCGCCGTTCCCAACTCAAGATCGTGTGTAGGGTATCTCGTCTCATGCGGCTTCAGCTGCCTTGATGCATAAGCAATCACTCGTCCCCTGTGCATGAGGACTGCCCCCAACCCTGTGATGGACGCATCACAAAACACCACAAAATCCTCAACTCCCTCGGGGAGTGTCAACACCGGCGCCTCATATAAACATCACCGTAGGGTCTCAAATGCCCTCTGTCAGTGTTCTAAAAGGCACGCCATGACCAACGGACAAGGACTATCGACATCAATAGGATTTTAAGCTTGATTTTTAACTATTTTTGGACAGACTTACCCTTAGTGTTGGAGTGTATGTAGCTTGTCAAGCTATGCATGCCCTTAATGTTGGAAAGTATGTTGTTTTTGTACATATTTGCCCTTGCCCATGCTTCTTACTTGTTCTTGAAGTGGTCAATTTTAACTTTTTATTCTAATGTTGCTTGCAAACCCAAATCCATTTCCCGATTCCCATGAAGCATGAGACTCCTTAATGCATTACATTCTCTATGTTACTGGCCTTGATAAGGATTTTAATGAATATACCAAAAGTAAAAGAAAGAGTGAGAAGCAATGATTTTTGGGTTAATACCATTTTAATGAAATATCAACATAGTTTACAAAATCATGAAAGCATTTTGCTATTGTAGTCCTCATGGTTTTAACTTTTATACGATATGTGTTCTTTATGTTGTACTGTACAACACCTTTTCAGCTAGTAGATATACAT